GGTTAACTCACGAGTGATGGGAGGTCCTACCTCTGGCGGGAGAGAGCGATTGAGGCTGTTCAGTAAGTGAGCGGCGGTCCAGGCCTTTTTCTCTGTGGTCGCGGGTGTGAGTGACTGATTCAGGCCTTGCTCTTGCTAAGGCGATAGGGTGCCCACCGCGCCTTTTCAACTGCGCGCTGGGGCTCAGCTGCTGCTCGTTCTGATGGCTGCTCGTTCCTGGCCGAACCTAGGCCTTGCCTAGGCCTCTGGCGTGGCCGAGTCACTGCTTCTGGCGTGCCGCTGCCTCTGGTGCGCCTTCTGCGGCCAATTTCTCCGTCGCGGCAGCTCGCGCCGCGACACTTGCGAGCGGGAAAAGACGTCGTCGTCATCGCCGCCATCGTAGTAGGCGCCATCATGACCACCCACATCATCAGCACAATCAGCGACATCATGACCACCGACACCAGGACCATCGTCGTCATGACCCCTGACATCATGACCACCGACATCATGACCATTGTCATCATGACCACCGACAGCATCTCAATCCTCAGCTTCGCTCCCTCCGCCCTCATCGACCACCGACCATGGTCGTGTGAGTCGTGCTGTAGTGGTCTCCATCATCACCACCGACCTTGGTCGTGTTTAGTTTTCTCCTGGGTCGTGTTTAGTACGGCGCCAATGCTCTACCCCGGCCTGCCGAAGGCATGATGACGAAATTGAAGATGATGACGATGATGGCGATGATGGTTGTGATGATGGTGATGACGATGCTGACGGTGACATTCATATGAGAACTTGGGAAAGGACGACTATGGTGAGGACGACGCTGACGATGCTGCTGAGGAAAATTAGACGAGGCCCTGGAAAAACTAAACAGGACCCTCGCAAAACTAAACAAGACCCTAGGACAACTAGACAAGACCCAAGGACAACTAAACGATACCCCAGGAACATTAAACAGGACCCTACCAAAACTAAACGAGAACCTCGGACAACTAAACAGGACCCTACCAAAACCAAACGAGACCGTAGTGAAATTAAACAGGACCCTAGCAATACTAAGCGATACCCTAGGAAAAGTAAACACGACCCTACCACAACCAAACGAGACCTTAGGACAACTAAACAAGACCCTCGCAAAACCAAGCAAGACCCAAGGATCACTAATCAGGACTGTAGCAAAAGTACACGAGACCCTCCGACAACTAAACGGGACCCTACCATAATTAAACGAGACCCTAGGACAACTAAACATGACCCTGCCAATACTAAACGATACTTTAGGAAAACTAAACATGACCCTACCACAACTAAACGAGACCTGAGGAGACTAAACAAGACCCTCGCACAACTAAACGAGACCCTAGGACAACTAAACAGGACCCTAGCAAAACTAAACGAGACCCTGGGAACATTAAAAAAAAGACCCTCCCAACATTAAACGAGACCCCAGGAAAACTGAACAGGACCCTCGGGAAACTAAACGAGACCCTAGGAAAACTAGACAAGACCCTATGACAAGTAAACGAGAACCCAAACGAAACATGACCCTAACACATCTAAACGAGATCCTAGGACAACTAAGCAAGACCGTAGCACAACTAAACGAGACCCTGGGACAATTAAGCAGGACCCTGCCAAACTAAGCGAGACCCTTGGAAAACTAAACAGGACCCTACCACAACTAAACGAGACCCTAGGAACACCTCAGCAAAACTAAACGAGACCCTAGGACAAGTAAACATGCCCCTGCCGAAACTAAACGAGACCCTAGGACAACTAAGCGAGACCCTAGGAAAACTAAACAAGACCCTCGCAAAACTAAACGAGACCCTAGGGCAACTAAACAGGACCCTAGCAAAACTAAACGAGACCCTGGGACAATTAAACAAGACCTTCCCACAATTAAACGAGACCCTTGGAAAATTGAACAGGACCCTCGGGAAACTAAACGAGACCCTAGGAAAACTAGGCAAGACTCTATGACAACTAAACGGGAGCCCAAACGAAGCAGGACCCTAGCACATCTAAACGAGATCCTAGGACAACTAAACAATACCCTAGCAAAACTAAACGAGACCCTAGGACAACTAAACAGGACCCTGCCAGACTAAACGAGACCCTAGGAAAACTAAACAGGACCCTACCACAACTAAACGAGACCCTAGGAACACCCTAGCAAAACTAAACGAGACCCTAGGAAAAACTAAACATGACCCTGCCGAAACTAAACGAGACCCTCGGACAACTAAACAGGACCCTAGCAAAACTAAACGAGACCCTAGCACAACTAAACCTGACCCTGCCGAAACTAAACGAGACCCTAGGACAACTAAACAGGACCCTAGCAAAGCTACACAAGACCCTGGGAAAATAAGCAGGACCCTGCCAAAACCAAACGAGAACCCTGCCAACAGAACCCTCAGAACCCTCAGAACCTTCAGAACCCTGCCAAAACTAAACGGGACCCTAGGAAATCTAAGCAGAACCCTGCCAAAACTAAACGAGACCCTAGGACAACTATACAGTGACCCTGGCACAGGTAAGCGAGACCCTAGGACAACTAAACAGTACCCAGCCACAACTAAACGAGACCCAAGGAAAACTAAGCAGGACCCTGCCGAAACTAAACGAGACCCTAGGACAACTAAACAGGACCCTGCCAAAACTAAACGAGACCCTAGGACAACTAAACAGGACCCCAGCAAAACTAAACGAGACCCTAGGAAAACGAAGCAGGACCTTACCAAAACTAAACAAGACCCTCGGACAACTAAACAATACGCTGGACTGGAGACGGCGGCTCTGCACCAGGCGCACGGAGGCAGACTGCACCTCCGGGGCGGAGACCGCGGGATGAGGCGGCGTCGAGCGACGCTGCACATTCGAATTCACAGCGCAGCCGTCGCGCAGCGCGCCAGCGCCGCACGCGCGCGCGGTGGCGCGAGAAGATCGAACACAACCAGAACGACGCGTACCGCTGCTGCTTCCACTACTTGAACAAGTGAACCTACATCGACCGGCACGATTCTAACTGCAATTGGCTCGACCAGAACAGTACGCGCACGATTGGGTGGTTCGATCGGCGCGGCAACCGTCGCTGGGATAACAATTATTTCAATTTCCAGTGGCGCACAGAGGGCGCCAGTGATATTATCACTATGAAGATTTCTCTGTTTTATTGTCGCATGGATGACGCTGGTTCCTTTTCCTTTTGTGTTTTATTTGAAAAACACATATATACAAAGAGTTGTATATATGCATATATATATACACAAACGATATGATACAGTGTGCTGGTGGGGATTTCCTGTGCATTGCATCTTCTTTTGCTCATTCTACATGTTCATGGAAATGGCGTCAATTACTACGATTTGGCACTTAGGGCATGGACGCGCCCAGGCAGGTCGCCCGCCAACAATCTTATTGAATCTGGAACAACACATTTTACTTCCATGCGGGGTCGCAAGCACAGAGTACGACACATGCAAAGTAAAATGCCCATGCCATGTGCGATGTAATATTCGCCGCATTGTACGCTGTCTGGATGACCGGGTATTGTTATGTTGAAGGCCTTCGCATCGCACGGTTTGCGTTGCATAGATGATCAGCTGTTATCGCACCTTCGATTTGAATATCGATCCAAATTCGAGCCTGGAGAGCCCTGAGATGAGCATATATCTGGGCTTGGAGCGCCCCGTGAGTGATTTTTTTTCCTTTGATCGAGTTGTCGTCACCATTCGGATCCATCGTACTTCGATTTGCATTCGTTTGCGCTCCTGTCTCACTGCGCCGGTGGAAGCATCTGCATTCTCCTATGCAGCATTGCTTGTCTACTTGCTCTTCGATTTCTTGCTCTCCCAGCTTCGTTACCCGTGGTGACGGGGAGTCGCCCGGGAGTGCCGAAGCGTTTTTGGGGGGCGCGCCCTGGGCCCGATAAAGGCGGGTAGACACCCCTGAGCACCCTGCGTCTGCCAGATCTCCTCCCGCTTCGGGCCCACTCCTCCTCCTCCTCCTCCTCCTCCTCCTCCTCCTCCCTCCTCCTCTTCCTCCTCCTCCTCCTCCTCCTCCTCCTCCTCCTCCCCCCTCCCCCTCCTCCTCCTCCTCCTCCTCCTCCTCCTCCTCCTCCTCCTCCTCCTCCTCCTCGACGTCTTTTGGCCTCCCCTCGGGGCCTCGTGGGCCTCCCCCTCCCCCCGCCGCCCCAGCAGCTCCGGAGGCCACGCCGCAGCGACCAGGGCGGCCCGTTCGTTTACTCTGGCGACCCCTGGGGTGGCCGTGCCGTGGGGCGTGCTGTTCTCACCTCCCGGGGCCCTGTTCTGCACGCGCGAAACGGGTACTGAAAGACTGGGTACAATGCCCAACAGCGGATCTTGTTCATTTTGGACAGGGCTCGCTGTCCACGCCGCCGCGGCCTGTGTCCATTCGAGACAGGAGGCCGCCTGCCCAACAGCCGCCGCTGTCGGTTTGGGGCAACATTTGCTGTTGGGCATTGTACCCATTTTTCGGTGCCCATTTTGGGCGTCCAAACCTGTGCTCCGAGCCCCCTCGCCTCGGAGCTGGCCACTCACGGAGGCGAAGTCGCCTCTTTCCTTTGCGCTGCAGGCTTCCTGTTGTCGGAGATTCCTGTCTCAAGCCGTGCTGGCATCGCTGCCATGGGCTCGTAGTCCTCTCCAGGTCCACGGCTTTCGCGTTCCAGAAGAACTCTTGTCAGTTTGTTCAGAGCCGTGACGTTTGGGTCTTGCCGTTGCCAGCATCACAATGCATCTGACGACATCACATCATCGTCGTCGGACTTCTCGAGGATTGGAGCATTGCTGTTTTCGTTTTGTCTCACGAGCGACCCACAGGCCTCCAAGATCGGTCTCAAAGGGCCCTCCGAGGGTCCCCAGCTGGCTCCAGGAGGCCAGGAGTTCCCCGGGACTCCCGAGGAGGCGCCACGAGAGCTCTACGTTTAAGTCGGGCCTGTCCTTCTACAGGGGGAATATCCTCAAAATGCGGAAAAAATAGTCCGGGGACGATTTGTTGACTACTTTTGAGCATTTTGGGAGTATTTTCTGAGTACTTCCAATTTTTCGCTCAAAATCCCCCTGTAGGGGGACAAGCCCGACTTCACTCTACGTGTGTCTCAAGAGTTCCAAGAAGGCCCTCCGCAGCCAATTTGATTCGAGTCGTTGGCATTCCGTTTTGCCCGCGCACAAGCACCTTCCTTCATACATCAGTTTATACCGGACTTGCATAGCGTCCTCTCGCCCAGGTCGCTGGGATGCCGGCCGCTGGGAAGGCACAGTGGACCACATATGCGGTGGCGCTGCTCGTCCAGGGCGTCCCCAGCGTGACCGCCTTGGTGGTGCAGGTGTCGCCAGGAAAAAATCGGGCGTTGAGGGAAACAGGTCCGCGCGTTTTGCGCTTCCCTTGACCCCCCAGGCACTCTTTGGAGCCTCGGGGCGATCAGACAGCGACTCGGGACCAGACGCGGATCCCGGGGCCCCTGGGTCCGGGGCCCGTTTCCTTCGGGACCCGCTTCTCTCATGCAAGAGGTTGGCGATGGCGTCCACCGCGACATCTCCCAACACAGCGCCTCGCGCACGACTGCCCAGGCGCAGGTTGCGCCGCTCGACGGCGTCCTCGTGGACATCGGCGCTACGGAGTGCCCTGCCGGGTACAGGGTCATGACCGAGACCGAGTGCTCCTATGGCGTTCACGTCAATGGGGCGGATATCACGACTTACAGCCACAGCGGTTGCTATCATGACAATGGTGGTTGGCCGGCGCAGGGCTGCTTTCTTAACGCCGGGAGTTCTACAGCAACGGTTGGCTGGTTGTACTACAGCACCTGCACTGAATACAGTGCTTTGTCCAAGAACAACGCCTACGGCATCTGTACGGCTGTCCAGGAACTCTTGATCACCGTGCGGCCGTCCCAATGGCTGAGTTTGTTGGAAGTCACGGCGTACGATGCGGCTGGCAACACGGTCGCAGCCCTTGGGGCGTCGATGTCTTCTACCAAGTATTGGTATCGTCCCGCTTCCCATTGTATCGATGGGAATCTCGGAACGTGGTGCCATTCTGACCTGGGTGGATCGTTGAAGATCACGTACCCGACGACCACTATTTCGCGCGTTGTCGTTGATAATTTTATGACTTATCCGTACAGAATCCAGGGAGCTTCACTTAATTTGTCCCTTGGCGGGCAGACGTTGTGGTCAGAGCAATTCTCCGGGATACACGCGTCGTATGAGTTCGTGGAGCCAACGCCCAGCCCGACGCCTTTCCCGACGCCTTTCCCGACGCCCTACCCGACGACCTACCCGACAGCCTTCCCGACGCCCTACCCGACAGCCTTTCCAACGCCTGACCCGACGTTGAGCCCGACTCCAGACCCGACGCCTTACCCGACGGCTTTCCCGACGCCTTTCCCGACGCCATACCCGACGCCATACCCGACGTTTTTCCCGACGCTTTTCCCCACGGCTTTCCCGACGCCTTACCCGACGCTGTACCCGACGCTTTACCCGACGTTTTACCCGACGCCTTTCCCGACAGCTTTCCCGACGGCGAGTCCCACGACCAGCCCCACGCCCAGCCCCACAGCGAGCCCCACGCCCAGCCCCACGGCCAGCCCGACGCCATATCCGACGGCCTTCCCAACAGCGTTTCCGACGCCTTACCCGACGGCCTTCCCGACAGCCTTCCCGACACCGTACCCGACAGCCTTCCCGACGGCCGACCCGACGCCCAGCCCAACGGCCTTCCCGACGCCGTATCCAACGGCCTTCCCGACGCCATATCCGACGGCCTTCCCGACGCCGTACCCTACGGCCTTCCCGACTTTGTACCCGACGGCCGATCCGACGCCACACCCGACGGCCTTCCCGACGCTGTATCCGACGGCCTTCCCGACGCCGTATCCGACGGCATTCCCGACAGCGTTTCCGACGCCGTACCCTACGGCCTTTCCGACGGCCGAACCGACGCCCGACCCGACGGCCGACCCGACGTCTTACCCGACGGCCTTCCCGACGCCATACCCGACGGCCTTCCCGACGCCGTTCCCGACGCCGTACCCAACTTCCTTCCCGACAGCCGACCCGACGCCACACCCGACGGCCTTCCCGACGCCGTATCCAACGGCCTTCCCGACGCCATACCCGACGGCCTTCCCGACGCCGTACCCTACGGCCTTCCCGACTTTGTACCCGACGGCCGATCCGACGCCACACCCGACGGCCTTCCCGACGCTGTATCCGACGGCCTTCCCGACGCCGTATCCGACGGCCTTCCCGACAGCTTTCCCGACGCCGTACCCGACGGCCGACCCGACGCCCGACCCGACGCCCGGCCCGACGGTGGACCCGACGTTTTACCCGACGTCGTTCCCGACGCCATACCCGACGGCCTTCCCGACGCGGCGGTGCGTCTTCGTGGCACGTCCCTTGGCACGTCGCCTGGCGCATCCCTTGGGACGTTCCGCGGCGCGTCTTCCTGGCATGTTCCCCTGTCACTTAGCTCTGTGGCAGCTACTATGTGCTGAGGCAGCTCGAGCTTAAGTTCATATCAGTTCGGTCAGGACCCCGATGCAAAGGAGGACTCGATCCACAACGCGGCATGGCACATCGCAATTCAGCACGGTGCTGCACAGCACAGCCCTCGGCACGGTACATCAAGATCGATCCTTTCAGCATTGCGTTTTGCCCGTCGCCTAATCAGGTGTCTTTGAAACGTTGCTATGCCTTACATTTCTATATTCCTTTCCGCGTTCGTGGGTCGATCATGTTCATAATTTGTTGAGGATGTCTCGAGCGAAACGCTGGTTTTGCAAACTTGGGGGATGTCTCGAGCGGGGGCCTCGTGGGGGGCCAGAATTCAGAGGATGTCTCAGGCGAAATGTTTGTTTTCACGTCCCGCTCGCAGGAATTCCGGGGATGTCTCGCGCGTGCCACGTCCCGCGCGCAGGAATTTTGAGGATGTCCCGTAGCGCGTCCCCTTGGCACGGCCTACGGTGCGACCCCATGGCACGTCCCTTGGCACGTCGCCTGGCGCGTCCCTTGGGACGTTTCGCGGCGCGTCCTCCTGGCATGTCCCCCTGTCAATTAGCTCTGGGGCAGCTACTATGTGTTCAGGCAGCTCGAGCTTAAGATCCAGATCAGTTCGGTCAGGACTCGGATGCAAAGGAGGACTCGATCCACGACGCTATAGAGCACAACCGCGGCATGGCACATCGCAATTCAGCACGGTGCAGCACAGCACAGCCCTCGGCACGGTACATCAAGATCGATACAATCAGCATTGCACTTGCCCGTCACCCTATCAGGTGTCTTTGAAAACATTGCCATGCGTTACATTTCTATATTCCTTTCGGGGTTCGTGGGTCGATCATGATTTTTTCCCGGAAAGGGCTCCGGCCCAGGGTTCTCTTTCAGCTGTTTACCCGCAGAACTGACGGCTCTAGGGCAGGCGAAATTATTTGCGATAAATTACGAGGTCGTTTTGGGCTGGCGAATTTTTGTTTGAGGATGTCTTGAGCGAAACGCTTGTTCGCGGAAAGGGCTTAGGTCCAGGGTTCTCTTTTAGTTTGTTTATTCCCGGTTTTGACTTGAGGCGAGCCGGCTAATTTCTTTTGCGATAAATAACGAGTCGGTGGGCCGGCGAATTAAAATTTTCAGGATGTCTCGAGCGAAACGCTTGTGTTTCAGAATTTGTTGAGGATGTCTCGAGCGAAACGCTTGTTTTGTGTTATAGAGTGTCCTCTCCTGGGGACCTGAATTCAGAGGATCTCTCAAGTGGAAATGTTGTTTTCACGTGCCCAGGTCTTGAGGATGTCTCGAGCGAGACGCTTGGTTTCACGCCTCCAGGTTGCCCAGCAGATGTCTAGCATGAGGATTTGTTGAGGATGTCTCGAACCAGAGGCTTGTTGTAAAGGCGATTTGTGGAGGTTGGCTCACCTCCGCGAGGCTGCGCGTCCATGCAGGGGTGAGCGACTGTCTTTTCGAGTGCGGGTGCGAGCAGCAGCGCGACACCTTCGCTCACTACCTTCGTTGCCCTATTCTTTGGTCGAGGAGTGTCGCTAGTCTAGTGGACGCTCCGCAGAGCGTCGCGTCCAGACTCGGGCTGGATGGGGCGCCGACCATCGAGCAAGTGGAGTCGATGGTTCTTGCTTTTCATTGTTACAATTCCATGCGTGCTCGGTCTCGCCCTGCGGAGGTTGAGATGAGCACGTATCTGTCCCAGATTCGACGGGCAGCGATGGCGCTCGTCGATGCATCTCGTGCGCTGTAGGCTCTCTCGAGACCCTTGTGGCGCCTCTTTGTACGAGCGACGTGTCCAGGTCGCCCAGGCGGATGTCTAGCATGAGGATGTGTCGAGGAAGTCTCGATCGAGACGCTTGTTTGCACGTGGCCAGGTTGCCCAGGCGGATGCCTAGCATGAGGATGTGTTGAGAATGTCTCGAGAGATACGCTTGTTTTCACGTGTCAAGGTCGCCCGCCGTACCATTTTGGCTCAAGTCCGGATTGTTTCTCTCAGACTTGTCCGCGGGGGGCGCGGCCGCGGTATCTCGCGTGCGCCTCTCGCGGGCGTGGCCGCTATCTCATATCTAACGACTGCGCTGAGGCCACCGCCTCTCGACTTTTCAGTCGCGCTTCGTTTCCCGCGCTTCCTGTGCTCGCAGTCATGGCTTCCCATTCTGTTGCCGCTTCTCAACCTGCTGGTTCTCAAAAGGTTGCCCGTCGCAAGTCCAGGCGCCCGCAACGGGCCACCCCCGCAGCCAGCGAGAGGTCTCGCACGGATACCCCTGAGGGCAAGCGCGCAAAGACCCTTGACGAGGACGGCGGTGACGGCGACGTGCTGGTGGATGGTCTTGGGGCCGCAGGTCTCACTGATCCTCTGCAGGCCCGCGACCCGTGGGATGCCGCGAGCAAGCCTGGGGAGTCCGACGACAACGTTGGTGGCACAGCTACTCCAGTCGCTCCCGACCCCAACGCTTTCGTGTGCAGATTCGAGGTGGAAGCTCTGGTGGCGAATCTTAAGCTCGATCTCCTGTCCTCTGTCAACAACGCCTCGTCTGCGCTGGCGACTCAACTGGCGGACAAAACGGCTTCTTGTCTGCGCAAGTTTGCGGCGCAGCAGGAGGCCGAGCATGAGGGGGCTGCTCTTCGTCTTCGGGGACTCAGCCAGAGGCAAACGTCTTTGGAGCAGGCTCATATCAAAATGGCTGCTGACATGGATCGTCTCAAGCACGCTCTCCACATCTGCGAGCAGGCCGCCCCGCAGTCGGACTATGCCGACGTCGCGGGCTTCGCGCGGGAGCCCAGTCGCACCTGCTTTGTGGCCTTTGCGAAGGCTGCGATCTCTTCTTCCAGTGTCAAAGAGGCTGTTCTTCCATGGCTGGGGGCCGCTGGCTTCAAGGATGACCAGTTGCATGTCGTGGGTGACTCTCCTTCTCGGCGATTGGTGGTCGCTTTCAAGGGCGCGCCTGGGCTGGCTTCGAAGCGCGTCGTCCACGCGCGTAAGGCCCTCAAGTTGCCCGACGGTGGAGGTTGGCGCAAGTTCGAGACTCGCGATGCAGAGTCCCAGGTGCAGGAGCTCTTCATCAGTCTTGACCAGAATGGGCAGCAGATCCGCCGCGAGTTCCAGTGCAAAAAGCTTTTCGAGCTCATCCAGAGCGCCAACCTCCCAGTGCGATGGCGGGCCAACCGTTCCCAGGGAGTTGTGTTTCGAGCCTTGACCCCTGGGGCCACATGGTTGCTGCCTTCAACAACCTATTCGGGGAAGCCGAGAAAGTTGCATGGAGTCTTTAGCCGCCGCTTTGCCCCGTGGAAGGCGCCTAGTGAGCTGAAGGCTCCGCTGTCGTTTGCGACGTGGAACGCTCGAGCACTGTTGCACCACGACTTGCGCATGCGGCAGCACAAAATGAAGTACTTGCCCCAGTTTCTCTCTAAGGGAACGGTCATGGCGCTGCAAGGAGTCCACGCTACGGAGTTGGAGCTTCAGCAGGACTTGTTCAAGCTCCACATCCCACACCTGGCTTTCTCTTCTTTCGGTGCGCAGCGAAACACTGGTGGGGTGGCTACTATCATACCTTGTCCTCAGAGTGGCGTTCATCAGCGGGCAAAGTTCTGGCGCGAGGAGCTGATGTCAGGAAGAATTCAGAGGCTTCGCATTTCCAGCATCAGTCGCGACACCTGTCCATCGGTGTCCACAGTCATCTACAATGCCCACAATTATAACATATCGAGACAGCGGGCGCAGTCGCTTCGGCAAAGGGTCGCTCGTGACGTGGCGCTCGCCAACACGGCGCCTGACAGGATCTCGATCATATTCTTGGGGGACTGCAATATCTACGCTGTTCTGCCCATGTATCCGCGTGCTCCTGAGATCGACCGTCGTAGGCCTGTCTCGGACGTTGCACCACATGTGGCTGAAGCTGTTTGGAAACGTATCTTCGCTCTGCTCCTCGAGGTGGACAATGAGATGCCCGCCCACTACGTCGCGCAGGAGGGGCAACAGCCGACGCTGACGCAGAATGACCGTATCTTTTTGTCGTCTCAGTGTTGGGAAGTTATTCGATGGACGATGTCGGTCTCCACTCCAGACTTTCCTGAATTTCTTTTCGAAAAGGGCATCAGCGATCATTCCCCTGTTGTGCTTTCTCTTGCGCCGCGACCGGCGGCGCATCCAGACGCTCAGCGTATTCCTTCTTCTATCTTCCAGGATCCCGACTATGCTCGGTTCATTAAGGATATGGCGTCGGAAGTCGACTGGCAATCTCTCACGGCTGCGTCCAAGCGGAGGGTCACTAAGAATATCATGAAGGAGTCAGCGAGGATGGTGCGCTCTCGTCTGGTTCGCAACCCTCAATCGACGGAAGCGAGATTCATGGTCTTTCGCTCTGTGGCTCGGGCGGTGTTCAGAGATGACGTGCGGCTGGCGAGGCGACTACTGTCCTCGTCGGCTCTTGCTCGCGAGCATGTGCACGTGGAAGGGGGCCTAGTGGAGCTGCGTGACGCGATCGCATTTGCGCGAGCGTGCACTCTCGAGCAGCAGGCTTTCTCAGAGGAGCGGGAGGCGACGCTGGCTCAGCGTGAGGCTCGGGCCAAACCGACGCTGCTTCCTTCTCATTCATTAATGCTCAACGTCGTGCGCTGCGCAGGAGGGCATCACTGTGGGCTCCCCTTGCTCGGGCGCTCAAACATCAAGGCATCCGTCTCCCTGGCGATGGTGAAGTGGTGGACTCTCAGAGTGACGCGGTTAGTGAGCTGCGCCGCCATTGGGGCCCAGTGTTTCAGCATAAGCCGAGGTGCTCCAAATGGGAGCAGCTCTCGGATAAGTATCTCGAGAAGTTCGGCACCCAGTTTGATTTCTCCGAGGTGCCCCCTCCGACGGCTGCTCAGCTTATGGAGGCGGCCCGTCGTGCTCGGCCGTCGGCTCCTGGGCCAGATGGGTCACCGTATGAGGCGTGGCGCAGGTCGCCGTTGGGCCTGCAGTCGCTGGAGGAAATCGCCCTCGAGCTTGCCGCTGGTCTACCGCCGCCGACGGATTGGAATGAGCATCTTATGGTTTTCTCACCGAAGGGGAGGGGGGACTCGGATGACGCGGCTGGGGCCTTCAGGTCGGCATCTACTACGAGAGCGTTGGCGCTGAAAAATTCTGACTAAACTTGTGGCGAGTGCTATCAATATGAAACTCAAACGGACGGTGGCGGCAACTTCCCCTGAGGCTCAACAGGGGTTTTCTGGCCGGCAGAAGCTTTCTTAACAATATCACTTTGTTGGATGCAGTTGCAAGGGCGCGCGGTTTCCAGTCCAGAGACGAGGACCTTGTTATGGTGTTGTACGGCTTTGGGGACGCCTTCCCGTCCCTGGAGAATGACTGGCTTCTCAAGTCGCTCGCGCATGCGGGGGTCGAGGACGGCATCTTCGCGCTGCTTGCCTCGCTGTACTGGTTGCCGACGGCATGCGTTCAGGTTGCTGGCCTACAGCAGCACTTCTTGTGTATTTCATGTGGATTGGCTCAGGGGTGCCCTTCAAGTGGGACGCTCTGGGCCATCGCGATGAAACCTTTCGTGAAGGCGACGCAGGTTCTACCTCACTCATGTGTCCGATCGGCGGTCGGCGTGTGTGCCGACGGGTTGTTGAGGGCGACCAAGCAAAACCGTGCCCCCCCAACAGGATCTGCTTCGTGTAATTCCGTGCAGCGTGATGTACATCGGGGGCCCCCAGAACTCAAATCTCAAAGTGCGTCATCATGCCGACTGGAGGGGAATTTTCTACGGTGCTGGAAAAGGAGATGCGCAATGGCTCTGTGAAGCATGCGCCGCAGAGGGCATCCACGAAGATCGTTGGCTCTGGGGATACTTGGGTGTGCAGGTGGGCCCCGCGGCAGACGAGCACAGTATATGGCGCAAGTTATGGCGGCCTAAGTGGTCGCTATTATCGTGAGCATGATTGCTCGCCAAGTCAGGCGCTCCTGTGCCCGCGACCACTGACATTTACACAAGTAATGAGCTGACAGTCATTGGGAATAATAGCGAGCAACTGGCATGCCTAACCCGAAGGGTCTGTTGGCACGAGAGTCTTGGGCGCTGCACAAGGTGTGGCATCTGCCACCGCAGTGTCTGTCACGTGCCGACATCTTTTCACTCGCCAGCTGGTCGCACATCCGTCCCATGTCTATGCTACCTCGTGGTACCGCTACTCTCATGAGGTCGGCGGAGGAGACGGTGACCAACTGGCGTTTCCTCATTGAATGGTTACAAGAAGAGGTGTGCTCCCACGGATCGTTGTTCGACATTGGTCGTGGCTGGCTATCCCCGCCGTTTTGGAAGCTGCGGCCCACGGTTCAGTACCAGGACAAGGCCGCCCACGACTTCGACCGCCGCCCGCCGCCTGGGGCGCAGACAGTGGACAGTGTGCTGCACGGGCCTGCGACGCAGGCTCGGCAAAAAGTGAAAGAGGCTCGCGCCGCCGCCGTCGCCAGTCAATCTCGATTCAAGCTTCAGCGTGTTCTTACCTCCTCCCTCCGTGCTGCTCTTTTTCCTGACTCGCTCCATCTCACCATCGAGAGGCGGCTCCAGACGTGGCAGGTCCCACATCCCAGGGGCCCATGGCCTCCGCTTAGAGCCCTGCTGGAGCCCCTACCTCCCGCGTGGCAGTCGGCGGTTGTAAAGACGATTTGTGGAGGTTGGCTCACCTCCGCGAGGCTGCGCGTCCATACAGGGGTGAGCGACTGTCTTTTCGAATGCGGGTGCGAGCAGCAGCGCGACACCTTCGCTCACTACCTTCGTTGCCGTATTCTTTGGTCGAGGAGTGTCGCTGGTCTAGTGGACGCACCGCAGAGCGTCGCGTCCAGACTCGGGCTGGATGGGGCGCCGACCATCGAGCAAGTGGAGTCGATGGTTCTTGCTTTTCATTGTTACAATTCCATGCGTGCTCGGTCTCGCCCTGCGAAGGTTGAGATGAGCACGTATCTATTCCAGAATCGACGGGCAGCGATGGCGCTCGTCGATGCATCTCGTGCGCTGTAGGCTCTTTCGAGACCCTTGTGGCGCCCATGTGTACGAGCGACGTGTCCAGGCGCCCGGGCGGAATGTCGAACTTGAAGATTGTTTGAGGATGGTCTCGGGCGAGAGGTTTTTTTGGTTGCAGCTGTCCTGGGTCGCCCATGCGCGGGTCTAGAATGAGGATGTGTCGACAACGTCTCGAGCGAAACGCTGGTTTTCACGTGCCCAGGTCACCCAGGCGGAACGTCTCACATGTAGATGTATTGCCGGATGAAACGTCTCTGGAGCAGGCTCATAGCAAAATGGCTGCTGAAGTGGATCGTCTCAAGCACACTCTCCACCTCTGTGAGCAGGCCGCTCCGCAGTCGGACTATGCCGACGTCGCGGGCTTCGCGCGGGAGCCCAGTCGCACCTGCTTCGTGGCCTCCGCGAAGGCTGCGGTCTCTTCTTCCAGTGTCAAAGAGGCTGTTCTTCCATGGCTGGAGGCCGCTGGCTTCAAGGATGACCAGTGGCAGGTCGTGGGTGACTCTCCCTCTCGGCGATTTGTGGTCGCTTTCAAAGGCGCGCCTGGGCTGGCTTCGACGCACGCCGTCCACGCGCATAAAGGCCCTCAAGTTGCCCGACGGTGGAGGTTGGCGCAAATTCGAGACTCGCGATGCCGAGCCCCAGGTGCAGGAGCTCTTCATCAGTCTTGTCAAGAATGGGCAGCAGATCCGCCGCGAGGTCCAGTGCAAAAAGCTTTTCGAGCTAATCAAGAGCGCCAACCTCCCAGGACGATGGCGGGCTAACCGTTCCCAGGGGTCTGTGTTTCGAGCCTCGACCCCTGCGGTCCGCGTCATCGTCCCAGATGATCCCACGCAGGCGTCTTCTTTGGAGTGGAATTACCGTCTTGTCAATGATGCTGGTTTGGGCAAGGATGCCATGGTTTCTGCCTTCAACAACCTATTCGGGGAAGCCGAGAAAGTTGCATGGAGTCTTTAGTCGCCGCTTTGCCCCGTGGAAGGCGCCTAGTGAGCTGAAGGCTCCGCTGTCGTTTGCGACGTGGAACGCTCGAGCACTGTTGCACCACGACCTGCGCATACGGCAGCACAAAATGAAGTACTTGTCTCAGTTTCTTTCGAAGGGAACGATCCTGGCGCTGCAAGAGGTCCACGCTACGGAGTTGGAGCTTCAGCAGGACTTGTTCAAGCTCCACATCCCACACCTGGCTTTCTCTTCTTTCGGTGCGCAGCGAAACACTGGTGGGGTGGCTATTATCACACCATGTTCCCAGAGTGGTGTTCATCAGCGGGCAAAGTTCTGGCACGAGGAGCTGGTGCCAGGAAGAATTGAGAGGCTTCGCATTTCCAGTATCAGTCACGACACATGTCCATCGGTGTCCACAGTCATCTACAATGTTCACAATTATAACATATCGAGACAGCAGGCTCAGTCGCTTCGGCAAAGGGTCGCTCGTGACGTGGCGCTCGCCAACACGGCGCCCGACAGGACCTCGATCATCTTCTTGGGGGACTTCAATATCAACGCTGCTCTGCCCATGTATCCGCGTGCTCCTGAGATCGACCGTCGTAGGCCTGCCTCGGACGTTGCACCGCATGTGGCTGAAGCTGTGTGGAAACGTATTTTCGCTCTGCTCCTTGAGGTGGGCAATGAGATGCCCACCCACTACGTCGCACAGGAGGGGCAACAGCCGAAGCTGACGCAGATTGACCGTATCTTTATGTCGTCTCAGAGTTGGGAAGCTATTCAGTGGACGATGTCGGTCTCCACTCCAGACTTTCCTGAATTTCTCTTCGAAAAGGGCATCAGCGACCATTCCCCCGTTGTGCTGTCTCTTGCGCCGCGGCCGGCGGCGCATCCAGACCCTCGACGTATTCCTTCTTTTATCCTCCAGGATCCCGACTATGCTCGGTTCATCAAGAATACGGCGTCGGAAGTCGACTGGCAATCTCTCACGGCTGCGTCCAAGCGGAGGGCCACTAAGAATATCATGAAGGAGTCAGCGAGGATGGTGCGCTCTCGTTTGGTTCGCAACCCTCAATCGACGGAAGCGAGACTCATGGTCTTTCGCTCTGTGGTTCGGGCGGTGTTCAGAGATGACGCGCGGCTGGCGAGGCGACTACCGTCCTCGTCGGCTCTTGCTCGTGAGCATGTGCACGTGGAAGGGGGCCTAGTGGAGCTTCGTGACACGATCGCATTTGCTCGCGCGTTCACTCTCGAGCATCAGGCTTTCTCAGAGGAGCGGGAGGCGTCGCTGGCTCAGCGTGAGGCTCGGGCCAAACCCGACGCTACTTCCTTCTCATTCATTCATGCTCAACGTCGTGCGCTGCGCAGGAGGGCATCGCTGTGGGATCCCTTTGCTCGCGCGCTCAAACTTCAAGGCGTCCGTCTCCCTGGGGATGGTGAAGTGGTGGGCTCTCAGAGTGACATGGTCAGTGAGCTGCGCCGCCACTGGGGTCCTGTGTTTCAGCATAGGCCGAGGTGCTCCAACTGGGAGCAGATCTCGGATAAGTATCTCGAGAAGTTCGGCACCCAGTTTGATTTCTCCGAGGTGCCCCCCCCCCGACGGCTGCTCAGCTTTCGGAGGCGGCCCGTCGTGCTCGGCCGTCGGCTCCTGGGCCGAATGGGTTGCCGTATGAGGCGTGGCGCAGGTCGCCGTTGGGCTTGCCGTCGCTGGAGGAAATCGCCCTCGAGCTTGCAGCTGGTCTACCACCGCCGACGGATTGGAATGAGCATCTTATGGTTTTCTTACCGAAAGGGAGGGAGGACTCGGACGACACGGCTGGGGCCTTCAGGTCGGCATCTACTACGAGAGCGTTGGCGCTGAAAAATTATGACAGTAAAATCGTGGCGAGTGCTATCAATATGAAGCTCAAACGGACGGTGGCGGCAACTTCCCCCGAGGCTCAAAGGGGCTTCCTGGTTGGCAGAAACTTTCTTGACAATATCACGTTGTTGGATGCAGTTGCAAGGGCGTGCGGTTTCCAGCCCAGAGACGAGTACCCTGTTATGGTGTTGTACGCCTTTGGGGACGCCTTCCCGTCCCTGGAGAATGACTGGCTTCTCAAGTCGCTCGCGCATGCGGGGGTCGAGGACGGCGTCTTCGCGCTGCTCGCCTCGCTGTACTGGTTGCCGACGGCATGCGTTCAGGTTGCTGGCCTACAGCAGCACTTCTTGTGTATCTCATGTGGATTGGCTCAGGGGTGCCCATCAAGTGGGACGCTCTGGGCCATCGCGATGAACCCTTTCGTGAAGGCGATGCAGGTTCTACATCACTCATGTGTCCGATCGGTGGCCGGCGTGTGTGCCGACGATGTTGGGGCGACGCTGCAAAACCGTGCTCGTCTAAAGGATATGTTTCGTGTATTCCGTGCTGCAGATGTACTCGGGGGCCTCAGACTCAAATTTCACAAGTGCGCCATCATGCCACTGGAGGGTGAATTCTCTACGGTGCTGCAAAAGGAGATGCGCCAATGGCTCTGTGAGCATGTTCCACCATGGGCATCCATGAAGATCGCTGGCTCTGGGGAATACCTGGGTGCGCAGGTGGGCCCCGCGGCGGACGAGCACAGTATATGGCGCGAGGTGGCGGCTAAGTGGTCGCTTCGTGCGCTGCTGCTCGCCAAGTCAGGCGCTCCTGCATCCACGGCCACTGACATTTACAACAAGAGTGTGCTGACAGTCAGGGGGTATTTGCAACAACTGTATCCTACGCCGAAGGTGTTACTGGCACGAGAGTCTTGGGCGCTGCACACGGTGTGGCATCTGCCAGCGCAGTGTCTGTCACGTGCCGACATCTTTTCACTTGCCAGTTGGTCGCACATCCGTCCCATGTCTATGCTGCCTCGTGGTACCGCTACTCTCATGAGGTCGGCGGAGGAGACGGTGACCAACTGGCGTTTCTCATTGAATGGTTACAAGAAGAGGTGTGCTCCCACGGTTCGTTGTTCGACATTGGTCGGGGCTGGCTATCCCCACCGTTTTGGAAGCTGCGGCCCACGGTTCAGTACTTGAACAGGGCCGCCCACGACTTCGACCGCCGCCCGCCGCCTGGGGCGCAGACAGTGGACAGTGTGCTGCACGGGCCTGCGACGCAGGCTCGGCAAAAATGAGGCTCGCGCCGCCGCCGTCGCCAGCCAATCTCGATTCAAGCTTTAGCGTGTTCTTACCTCCTCCCTCCGTGCTGCTCTTTTCCTGATTCGCTCCATCTCACCATCGAGAGGCGGCTCCAGACGTGGCATTTCCCACATCCCAGGGACCCATGGCCCCCGCTTAGAGCCTTGCTGGAGCCCCTTTCTCCCGCGCGGCAGTCGGCGGTTGTAAAGACGATTTGTGGAGGTTGGCTCACCTCCGCGAGGCTGCACGTCCATACAGGGGTGAGCGACTGTCTTTTCGAGTGCGGGTGCGAGCAGCAGCGCGACACCTTCGCTCACTACCTTCGTTGCCTTATTCTTTGGTCGAGGAGTGTCGCTGGTCTAGTGGACGCACCGCAGAGCGTCGCGTCCAGACTCGGGCTGGACGGGGCGCCGACCATCGAGCAAGTGGAGTCGATGGTTCTTGCTTTTCGTTGTTACAATTCCATGCGTGCTCGGCCTCGCGCTGCGGGGGTTGAGATGAGCACGTATCTATTCCAGATTCGACGGGCAGCGATGGCGCTCGTCGATGCATCTCGTGCGCTGTAGGCTCTCTCGAGACCCTTGTGGCGCCCATTTGTACGAGCGACGTGTCCAGTTCGCCCAGGCGGATGTCTAGCATGAGAATGCGTTGAGGACGCGTTGAGCGACGCGCTTGTTTTTACGCGCCCAGGTCGCTCAGGCGGATGTCCAGCATGAGGATTTTGACCGGATGTCTCGAGCGAAACGCTTGTCCCCAGCACGTTCCGTAGCGCGTCCTCTTGGCACGTCCCGCGGTGCGTCCCCATGGCACGTCCCTTGGCACGTCGCTTGGCGCGTCCCTTGAGACGTTCCGCGGCGTGTCCTCCTGGCATGTCCCCCCGTCAATTAGCTCTGGGGCAGCTACTATGTGTTCAGGCAGCTCGAGCTTAAGATCCAGATCAGTCTCGGACGCAAAGGAGGACTCGACCCACAACGCTATAAAGCACAATCGCGGCATGGCACATCGTAATTCAGCACGGCGCAGCAGAGCACATATTTCGGCACGGTACATCAGGATCGATACACTCAGCATTGCAACTTGGCACGTTCCTTGGCACGCTCCGTGGGGCGTCCCTTGGCGAGTCCCCTTGGCACGTCGCGTGGCGCGTCCCCTGGCACATCCCGTGGCACACCCATTGGCACGTTCCGTAGCGCGTCCCCTTGGCACGTCCCGCGGTGCGACCCCATGGCTCGTCCCCTGGCACGTCGCCTGGCGCGTCCCATGGGACGTTCCGCGGCGCGCCCTCCTGGCATGTCCCCTTGTCAAGTAGCTCTGGGGCAACTACTATGTGTTCAGACAGCTCGAGCTTAAGATCCAAATCAGTTCGGTCAGGACTCGGATGCAAAGGAGGACTCGATCCACGACGCTATAGAGCACAATCGCGGCATGGCACATCGCAATTCAGCATGGCGCAGCACAGCACAGCCCTCGGCAGGGCACATCAATATCGATACACTCAGCATCGCATTTGCCCGTCACCCAATCAGGTGTCCTTGAAAACGTTGCCATGCGTTACATTTCTATATTTCTTTCCCAGTTCGTGGGTCGATCATGTTTGACGTGGGCGAGTTCCGAAGCTATGTTCGAGAGCATCTTGGCCAGAACACAAAACACCCTTCCTGGGCATAATGGCGTACCTTTGCAGCATGGATGCTTGCCAGAGCACTTGCCCACAAGCTTGCCTGTGAAAGCGCTTGGAACCAGGAGAAGTGCCGCATGGCCAAAAGGTGGCTAGAGGAACTTTCTCACAGAAAAAGTTGCGTTGCCGCTCTGTGCCGGCCTTGATCATGTGCCGTGCCACGATTCGTTTCGCGAGTGCAAATCAATTGCCGTGTCGTGCCGTGCCATGCCCGTGTGCCGTGCCGTGCAGTTTGATTTCAAACCTGCGAAGCAATTGCCGTACCGCGCCCCCATGCCGTGCCGTGCCGGGCTTGGTTTCGACAATGTGGACATTTGCCGTGAGGTGCCGTGATTGCGTGTCGTTCCGTGGTTGGGTTCGGGATTTCGGTAAAGTGACCGTGCCGTGTTTGGTTCGGAAGCTGCGAACACAGC